CACGTGTCGCCCCGAGGGGAGGATGTCGACTCTGTGATACGGGTCCTTGGGGTGATAGACTACCTGGACTTGCTCCTCGTACCACGCATCGAGGGCCTTGAAGTCGATCTTCACGTAGCCCACCAGCTCAGAGTTGAATGAGTCGGGAACAACGAGCGACGGCACGGATTTGGTGCCCACGCTCAACGTCGACGTCGACGAGTCTATGCCAGAAATCGGTTTGTCCTCTGTGAACTTGGCACTGTCGAGGAAGTCGGACTTGGGGATCCAGTACATGGGATAAAACCCGTTCTCCCACACTAATTTGGCGGCAGTGGTGTCGAAGATGTATTTGCCATTGAGGACTCCTCTGACGCGCTTCTCAGTGCCCACAATCTTCGGTCGGGATTCTGGGTTGGCACTGAAGAGTTTGGAGCCAAGTGCTGCGAGACTGCGAATGTCTTAGAGATTGCATGATCAACGGATAAGTGTGCTTTGCTTACTCGGACATTGTTCTGGTTGAATTGGCAAGTGATCCAGGCGAAAGATGATTGCGGGTCAATTGTATACGTGGAATAGATCGGAACGCCAGTTCGGCAGCTGTCGAGACACTTTGAGATTTGGATGTCGGGAGAAGAAGGTGGCAGTGAGAAGATCGTCCTAGATATACATATACTCGTCGTAGTTGACGTCGACGGTGTCCAGACCAGAGCAGAGCAGAAACCTGTAACGACAATTTTTACTTGCCTGATATCGTAGCAGGTCTAAAGAGGCAAGAAATTGGTGGGTTTAGTTATACGCGCCGTCGACTATGGCCTTGAGACTTGATCACTAATGGTCAGGGAGAGTCCTGGTGGCCCTTAAAATGTGTGCTGACATACTCGTGCTCGGAACCAGGAACTGCATATGGGAATGTCATTAATCTGCGGGGCTTGTCGGCTTGAACTAACCTCCTTGCCCCCGCAGCGCGGACAAACACATGGGACAAGTACTCGGTGCTATTGTCTATGACTGGTGCATACTCGTAAAGACTTGCCAGGGTCCTCTACACTTAAAATCCCGCAGCTTGACTCTGTCGAGTTAGTGGAAAAGAAGATGATGGCATCAAAGCCTCCTTGAGATTCTCTGAACTTTCCTATCCAGGCGAATGGCATCCCTACTACCACGACAGAGGCTCGCTTCTGATCTCTTCAACTGGGATCTATGGGCTTTTGCGTTGACTGGATTCTGTTCCTTGTCGTGCTGAGCTGCGTCTCGGCCAGCAGTCGTCCGAACATGCCCATAATCCCGATGTAGATGTGAAACGGGTGTATCTACCTGTCGGCTTCGATGTAGACACTCAACACTTCTCAAAAAGCGGATGAATGAAGCAGGGCATTCTGTTCTGCAACAAATGCCACCTTTCCCAGCGATAAGCGCCTTCAACACCCGCCCGGTGCATTTGATCACAAGGCTGCACCCCTGTCCGGGGAATGTCACACATTGCCCTGCTGACCTATCGCTGGTAGAACGAGGCATTTCCCAGCGGCCATAGCGACAGATCTTCTCCTTTGTCTGTATATTAGCTCCGCGGTCTTGACTGCACGGAAAATACGGACGAGATGACAAGGTGAATACTGAGCATCCTGCTCCTGAGCAAAATGTCATCAACCGCAGGAGCTGGCGCTCAAGATAGCATCAATTTGTGGCGAGAGGAAGTCGTTTCTGCTCAATGCACATAAGCTGAGATATTCGAGTTGCGGACCTGGCCCGCCAGCTTCAGAAGTTATCACCTGCGTGCGATATTCTGTTCGAGAAGCCATTCAACTAGCAAGCCAATATCTTCCGTCGTTTCCAAAATTCGTACAATTTTGGACCGAATGCGTTCACTCTCGGTGCCTTCTGCGTGAATTCCGCGCAAGTCTCGGACCTCGATTGCTCCACCCGGGCAGATGTTGAGGGACAAGAAGACAAATGGGTGCTTTTGCTCTCTCCTATTCGACTTGCGCAAGGGAATGTATACATCAAGCTTTGCTTTTGAGATATCGGAAAGCACATCCATGTTCACGTCAATCGGCAACGGCAGACCGGGATCCAGCTCACTATGCGAATTAGCGAGGTTGTCGAAGTCATCGAGGTCAGAGCCGGGAGACTTCTTGTTTGTTCGCTTCAAGGGGCGGAGAGTGGTTTCTGAACTCCAGTTGCCCTTGGAAGGGACCTTGCTTGATGCGCCCATCTGTTGATTGTCGCCCTGGTACTCTATCAAACTGCGCAAAATACCCCAAACGACGGCATACTGTCGAATAATAGGCACCACGGCCGCAAATTGTTTCGGATGGGTGAATATCAGTTGTTTCAAAGGATGACACCACAGGGGCGGGGCATGCTGGGAGGATTTCAGGGCGTACGAGTGCCGTCGCAGCCGGCCAGAGCCTTTGTCATCTTCAATGGGCAAGACTCTAATCCATCTTTCTTGTGAAGGGTTTCTGTTGCCTTCAGCGCCGGCACCGACGAAGGTCTTATGCAGCACCGCTTGATATGTTGAAGTCAGCTCTTGCTTGATCTCCACCATAGCAATCTCCACGCTCAGATTGCCCGCTACGTTGAGGGGAAGGTAAACTTCGGGTTCAAGGGTACATTGAAAATGCATATTCAAAACGCGCGACACCATGTCAGTCGGCTTCTCGGTGGCTGCATTATCTGCCTCTGCCTTGGCTAACGGATCTGAACCTGACGAATCTTGTGCAGGGTCTCGCCAGTCCGGCTTCCATGTCTCGTTTTCGACATCGAGTATTGGCTCGTGGCCCTCGACGAGAACTCGGTCAGAGACCCATTGCTTCGTGACGGCAGTCATTGGCAAACCAGACTCGCAAGACACCCGTGCGGTGTAGAGATGATGGGTATTGTCAACCTCACCATTGGCGGCAACCTCAGGCTTTTGGCTTGGTTCCTCGGGGGTGGCCCAGTAGTCCACTGCTAGTCCCAACCAGGGTTTTCGATCCATGACCGGTCTACCAACCGCGCCCTGTTTCAGATTTTGCCTAGGAGTCCGTGCTTTGAATTTTTCTCTTTCAGCATCCCAGATCATTCGGAATGAATTATAGAGATCGGTCACAGCGTTGAAGCAGGGGGCCCCGCTCTCGATTCTATCGAGTTGGCTGAGGTATTGTAGATTGGATGCAAAGGCATCCAATGATCTCCATTGCGGTATTTGGCCGACAGCGTCTAGACTTTGCAGATTACTCTTAATAATCTGGGTGCCTTGTTCTTGGAATTGAGGCTCCTCGTTTTCGGAGGCGCTGTCTGACATGTTGAGCTTGAGACTCACGTCCCTGACGTCGTCCCTGCCGCCAGCTTCGAAGTTGATCTCAAGGTCAACACAATTTCCCGCAATTGTGAGATTGTCATCGTCCCATAGAGTGGTGAACCCTTGCAACTGTCCTATTCTCTCCACCCCTCCACGAGTGATTCCGTGTCCGGCAGCCCGACTCTTGAGTGAATTCAGAACCAGTTCCGCTCTAGCAAGTCGTTCGAGCAACGGGTTGACAGGAGGGGCAGATCTGACGGGTGCGCCCGACAGACTTGAGGTGATACCCAAGCCATCCGCTCCACTTCCCAAAGGTGTAAGTCCTGTAGTCCCCAGGGCGTTGATCAGAGCGGCGGCAGGCGAATTGAGAGCAAGCAGGTCATCATGAACGGCTGTTGCGGCCAGGGGTGTAGAAGAGGGTTGTGAGGAAACACTGATATGGTGTCCGTGCGCTGAGGCTGGAGTCTTGACCGCGGGAGACTTGTAAGCGAGAGGACGATTCGAGTTGCCCGAGGTACCAGGTCGAGGCGAAGCCATGAGCCTGTTCGGAGGCGAGAGCTGTGGTTTCGGCGTGGAGATGTTCTGGGATTTCGTTGGTGTCGCCATGGTTTGTCGGAGACTGACTTCTCATAGTCTCATTTGCCTAGCAGAGCGAGTGCAACAACAGACGACACGGTCTGGGGATGTCTCAGACGCGTGTCGCACCACTTCACTGGCAATTGGAGTAGGCTGGGTTCACATCAAGCTCAGCAGACAACCTGCTGTCGTCTCCCCTCCAAGTCGCCGGTGGCCGAGCATCTCATGGGTGTGATTGAGCCTGAGATGGGCTTCATCTTGTCCGCAGTTTATCCTGGATGCGGGTTGAGGTCACAAGTTCTATTAAGGCAACTCTTCCGACAGTCTACATCATATTCGGCAAAAATAAATGGCACAGTCTGACGAGGAATAGCATCAAGGAGCGACTAGCTATCGACTCAAGGGTAACCTCCTCGGGCATAATGACATCCCTATCCTCGTCGATGATATTAGCTATCTTTCAACTGGCGGGCGCCTCATCGCTATTTATAGTGACTCCCTAAATTTTGAGGAGTTTGTATTTGTATGCTCTCTATCAGCCTGTCCCATTTAGCCTTGTCCACTCAGCCACTGTAGAAACCACCCACACTCAAAAGACGACCCAACAACGCCGGCAGACACACTGCTATGACTTTCGCGATCGTTACCACGTGTCGACCTCTTTTCGAGAATACTGTTGATTTTAGTGTCAAGCCAGAAATCAAGTAGAGATAGACCTTGTTGTCGATTTCCTTGGGTATACGTGCAGCGATATATTTAGTTGTGGAAACTCAGGAGTAGAGAGAGAGAAAATACTGAAAGATATATATCGAACATGAGGAATAGTCTTTCGCAATCGACCATAGGATATGGAATACAGGGCTTCCCGTCCGTTCAGCCGTACTTAAGCCATATGCCGGTTAGCGAGTACCACCGTGGGTGACCAGGTGGGAATCCTAACTGTCGATTGTTTTTGCTTCTCGCATGGCTTCTGCGTTCACAGGTAGGGGATACTTATAATGAGAAAGGTAGAGGAAGGGGAAGCGTTGAATGAGACGGTGGTTATGTAAATTCTTTGAGTTGAGCAAAATGAGACGGATATCTCGTCGTTACACCACATCACAATTACTAGTTCAAGCCATTTCATAACCAGATCCAGTCCCCTCGACAACTGGGATCTTTATGCACCGTTCGTGGCGCCATTAGGGATGCTGTCATGCGAACCCTGGGTTGGTGCTCCATTGGTATTGTTGCTGAATGTCGTAGCCTTGACACCGTTGGCCTGTCTGATGGCAGGATCCGAGCTCATGCCATTATGAGAACCGTTGAACTTCATGTTCTTGATCCCGTCATAACCCTTAATGCCTGTTGATTTCTCCAGGCGCTGAGCGAGGTCCTCACTGACTTCACGGAATATGGCAATTTGTCTCTTCAGAATCTCTTTGTCCGAACAAACTTCCATCTTACCAGTAACGTTGCTGATGAAACGTTGGCGGGCAGGCTCGTCGAAAACTTTCTCCCATAAGGCTCGTGGGCCATTGAAGTCTTCAGGGCGAATCTGCGACAGGAATGTGATAGCATGGCCTTGGAAATGTCCATGAGTCTTGTCATAATCAACGGATCTTTCACGGAATTGAATAGGGTCGATGGATGAGAGATAGTTTGCCCGGCCACCTTGGTTATAGAATGCCATGGGACCATCGCGTTGGAAGTTTCCGTATTTGTAGGCCGTGCGGGCAGCGTTGACGGGAAGTTGTTGGTAATTTGCACCAACACGGTGGCGGTGGGTATCTGGGTAAGAGAAGAGGCGGGACTGCAGCACTGGATCGGCCGAAGGTTCGATACCAGGAGGCATGTGGGAAGGACTGAATGCCACTTGCTCGACTTCGGCAAAATAATTGACGGCATTCTCGTTCAATGTGAATTCACCGACTTTGCGCAGAGGGAATTGTTTCTGAGGCCATACGTGGGTCAAATCAAAGACGTTGATGCCTTGCTTAGCCCAAACTTCTTCGGCTTGTTTGGGAGTCATGGTCTGAATCTCCACTGACCACCTGGGATAGTCGCCGCGGTGGATGGCTTCGTAGAGATCCTTCTGGGCATGGTCTGGAGATTTGGTGGCAGACTCTTCTTGTGTCAGGAATTTGGTTCCCTGCATGGACTTCATGTGAATCTGGCAATAGATCCAATCACCATTCTTCTTAACCAGCTTCAGAGAGTGGCCGGAGTAACCATGCATGAATCGAAACCCGTCGGGAATGCCTCGATCCGAGAAAAGAATCATAACCTGGTGAATTGACTCAGGATTGTTTGACAGATAATCCCAGAACATAGTCGAGTCGTCAGCGTGGGTCAAGTGTGTAGAAGGGTGTCGCTTCTGCGTGTGGATGAAATGGGGGAACTTGGCGGGATCTCTAAGGAAAAACACCGGGGTATTATTGGCGACTAAGTCCCAGTTACCCTCCTCGGTTCTGAACTTGACAGAGAAACCTTGAGGGTCTCGAGCGCAATCGTGGGAACCGGCTTCGCCACCGACGGTGGAAAAGCGAACTGTGACGGGACATCTCTTGCCTTTGGTACTCCAGATGTCGAGGCAAGTCAAGTCATCGGCCGGGTTGGTACACTCAAAGAAACCGTGGGCACCGCTTCCCTTTGCATGAACAACGCGTTCTGGGATTCGCTCTCGATCGAAATGGGAAAGAAGATCGATCAAATGGAAGTCTTGGAGGAGGAGTGGTCCACTCTCCCCTGCGCGTTGAGCTTCGTAGGGATGAGCCATAGGGACACCGTTGCTACGGGATTGTTAGTGGACTGATCGAATAGCTACAGCAAGGAGAGGTTATGTGCACTGACCTGGCGGCGTAGATGGTTTGTTTGGAGTCCATCTGGCGGTCTTTCTCGTAGGAGTTGAACTGATTGGCGACATGCGCCGCGAAAGACGTATCATTTGTTGCCATGTTGAATGATCTGATAGTATCGACAGGAGCTTGAACAATCCTCTGAACTGCTTCCATTAAAATAATACAAGATCATGCGAGGAGTCCTTTGTTATATAATTGCAGTGACACAGTCAGAGGGGGAGGCGGTTAGTAGGTCATCGAAAGATCGGCCCTGAATGGAGTGTATCGGAATAGCTTTGATAGGACAGAGGGCAACAATTGTGGGCGCACGGTGGAGGTCATGAATACCGAAGAAGTGCCTTGAACGAATGAAGCGATCAAAGGGTGCGAGGGTGCAAGGTTCACGAGGGTTGCGAGGGTGCGCATTCGTGTGTCGTGGTGTTCAGTGATGACGTCTACGAAAGCGAAAAACTTGCCTGCGTTGACATGAAATTATCCTTTCTCTCCCTTTGTTGCCTCCCTGCTCCATCACGCGTGCTCCTTCTCCTGCTGATCTATTCAGATCTGCCTTCTGCGCAGAAGATCCTCTCAAGGTCCAGTCGAGATAGAGGATCAAGACCGCCGCTACGCCCGAGGATTGTCAGTTGTCGTTCCACCTTTGGCCAAGCACTCCCCCAACCTGACTTTGCATGCTTGAACATCCCCGCAAAACCAAGCAGTAGTCATCTCTCCCGCCGATATCCGAGACCCTAATGGCCAGTCACAGTGACTGTTTAATCTACTGTTCTCGACTCCGAAAAACCTTCTCGCTCATTGGCGGAATGGCCACGGTCGTTGATGCAGGATGAAAAATATGGATAACTCAGTGGTGACAAATGTGGTAGCTCGCAACGACGCTTGACTTCAAGAGGCTGCTACGCGCGAGCCACGTATTTCTATTTGTCTTGAGATTTGATTTGATTCTCGCTCACGCGTTTCTGGAAATCGACACCTTCCCAAAATTCTATACCTGATCCTGAGTAATCAACCCCATCCTGCTGGCTACAGATGAAGAGTGGAATGATATCTGTCGTCTGGCTTATGCAGAGGCTAGTGGTCCGCTGTCTCTCTGGGATACTCGGGATCATGTTGATGTAGCAGGTGCAGAACACTCGATCTATTTAAGTGCTGACTGGAGTCAGGGTTTCGGGGTGGAATATAGAGGCGCTAATGAATTCAGTCCTGATGTCGTTGATGGCGAAGCGAAGGGATTTATGCTGTGGTCCGATGTCACCCTCAGGTGGGAGCAACGGAGGTGCAATCTTCCTCTCAATGATTGAAGTTTCAGTACCTTGGGTGAGATTTGCAATGATGATATAGTTTCGTCGAGATCGGTGAACCACAGCAAAGGGCCACAAATATTATCATGTAGCTGCTCGGGACAGAGACAAATAAGAGAAAGAACGGACGGAACATTTTGTTAGAGGGGAAGAGATACCCACTTTCAAGATACATGAGACGATCACAAGGAGACTTATCACAGCCTCGGCGGGCTCACTGCACTTACTACTAGTACACAAACCACTAATGCTAAAATATCTAATATTGGATGTCACCGAGAAACAGCTCGACAGATTGTAGTCGATAAGGATCTCTTTTCTATCCTGTCGGGAAAATTAACAAAACTCATTTCATCGGTCAGTTTTCAGAAGAAAAAAAACACCCAGCATCATGGTCGCTAAGATCGCCATTTCCTGTCAACACTGCAAAACCCGTTTTCGTCAGGAGAATTTGCAGAAAACAGAGTTCGAGTTGTGGTCGATAAGACAGGCCTTTCCCGCCACACCGGGAAACCTGTAAAACTCGTTTCGCCAGGAGATTTCCCAGAAAATGAGCGAACTCTCTTTGTATTTCAGCCATAGTCTTCTATGTGACTACGTCTCTTCAGCGTTGTGCCGTCAATACAGCCATGGCCGCCAGCGGCTCCGAATACGAGTCAAGCATTGAGAGTAAAATGTCTGCCGAGTATCCTCTGTCCCCAGCATCCTTCTGGAGATTCTTCTGAGAAAAGCCTTTTGACCTTGAATTATTAGATTGGGGACGCATGGTCCGAGGCTTGGGGAGAGAAAAAAAAATTGGCACAGTTTGACAGGAAGTAGCTGCCCCCCAGAACTGAGGTAGTCGCTTGATAGCGAATGAGGCCCGTGCTAGATCAAATATAGTTAATATTGTCAATGAGAATAGGGGGTGCCACCAGTGCTATTACGCCTAATGATAATCATCTTCAAGTTGATGGTGAATCGCTCCTCATTGCTATTTCTTGTCAGACTACAATATGCCACCTATTTTTGACATCGGCTCAGTCTGAGGCAGGCCACATGGTTCTCAAAGTGCAGGCCATTTTCCAGTGCCAGCTTCAGAGACCCCAGCGTCAGCTGTCCCCAGAGACGAACATGTCGTTATTCACCCTAATTGATCAATCCCCTCTTGTGCAACGGAAACATGTTCACATTTAATTCCGAAGTGTCGCAAAACATTTTCCGATGCCACCCCTTTCCGCCTCCGACGATACGACCACGAGCTTAAAGGGACATCGATGAGCCTTTCCGTTACGGAAACGAAAGGCCAAGGTCTTCTGGACGGGGTTGCTGAGCATCGGACGCGAAGGCGAACAGTGAGACAGATGTTCAAGAGCGAAAATAAGGCTCGGATCCGAGCGACACTGGCAGACTGGCCACCGGAGGAAACTGGATGAACTGGATGAAGATGCAAGAGGTGGCACGGTCAAACACGGCGTTTCGACATCGGCCTCTCTCCCACAATCCCAAGCTTTTCCGTCCTCCCATTTCCCCCACCATTCTCGCCGTGTCGGCACTTGGCCAAACCTTCGTGGGGGAATTTTCCTGAGGGGCAGGCGAAATCTCCCCGACAAACGGACCGACTCCCACTCAACTATGACATTTGTTTGGATTGAGGAGGGGGACGCACCGCCTTCAAACACCGTGGGGCCCTTGGGATGACCGTGTGGTGGTGGTTTGTGAGCAGAGGTTGTAGGTCGCGCAATTGAAGGCCTTTCTCTCTACTTCCTCTGGGCTTTTTTTTGTTGTTTCTCTCACCTTGGTTGTTCTGGTCTTCCCTCAGGAATTATACACCATTTCTGCTCCAACATCCCCGTTTGTTCGACCCTTTCGTGTCTCTTGTTTCTGCATTTAGAGGGAAAACCCCTCAAAAAGAAGTCAGTACCAAAACAAACAAACATGGGCAAAGCAACACACATCATCCGCTTCGTTGCGAGCGAGGACAACCGCATCCACCTGGGCCAGCTGGTCGATACCTCTCGAGACATTGGCGTGGACAGCGTCGAAGGCAAGGAAATCAAGGCCTATCTGATCAACGGCACCATCTTCGCGCCCGAGGTCACGGAGCATGTCTACACGGTCAAGCAGCTGCTGAGCCCCGTGTCGCCCGAGGACTGCAACTACATCCGGTGTCTGGGCTTGAACTACATGGATCACGCCAATGTCGGTTCCCTTCCCTCTTGTTCTCAATGTGTCAGCGTGTGGCAGGCATGAGAGATCTTAGTCCTCTCTTGCACTTCAGCCCTGGACAACTTTTTGGAGAGAGATGTACTGACAAGTGGAATGTTGGGGGAATGTACAGGAAGCAAACATGGCGCTCCCCAAGGCTCCCATCCTCTTCACCAAGCCGCGCACCGCGCTGGCCGACCCCTACCCGGCCGTGATCCCCATCCCCAAAGCCGCGCAGGATGGCACCTCGGACTACGAGGCCGAGCTGTGCGTGGTGATTGGTAAGACTGGGCGAGACATCCCCGAGGACAAGGCCCTCGACTACGTGCTGGGATATACCTGCAGCAACGACGTCTCGGCGCGGACCATGCAGATGTTGACCACCCAATGGTCCTTCTCTAAGGGGTTGGATGGAAGCTGTCCGCTGGGACCCGTGCTGGTGACCAAGGACGCGATCGCCGACCCGCAGAGCCTGAAGATCAAAGCGATATACAACGGACAGGTCGTGCAGGACGGGAACACAAAGTATGTTTCGAGAACCCCCTTTCCCCTCTAGGCGTCCTGTTTTTTCACGCTATGATATTGTATTGTTTCGTCTTGGACTCTTGCTGACACGTCCCCCCCGCGCTGCGAACCTCACAGAGACATGATCTTCCCCATCGCCAAGCAGATCAGCTACCTCTCGCAAGGCACGACGCTGGAAGCCGGCACCATCTTCCTGACCGGCACGCCCGCGGGCATTGGCTTCTTCCGCAACCCGCGCGTGGTCCTCGAGCACGGCGGCGACATCCGCGTCGAGATCGAGAAGATTGGCACCCTGGTCAACAAGGTGCGGTATGAGGAGTGGTGAGGGCGGGTGGGGAGTCGCTGCTCCTGCTGGCGTGGGCCTGGGGTGCATGTGTAAGACTCGTTTGAAGTATAAAGTATACACTTACTATAAGGGCGTGTCAGTTGGTCCTGCGTCGGCGCTTTCACATCTAACTCATCAATCTAGCCCTACCCATATATTTATATCTATATGCACGGGGTCGAGATGAGGGTTTGAAGCAAAGAGACCGGACAAACGAGATTAGACATATACACATATATATACCATTGTATGTATATAAAGGTCCTGACTGACTGATTTTCCCTGATTTGTCCTGTCCCGTCCCGTGCAAACTGTGCAAACTGTGCCTGGTTGTAGTCTACTCGACGAGTCGGTAGCCATGAGAATAAAAAAATCCAGATAAAAGGTAGTTATATGCTATATCCCCGTGCGGTACAGAGATACTGTATATGTATGCATGTGAGTGTTTTTCAAAGAATGAGGGACGTGTAAGATGCACCTCTTGCCTGGCTTGGTTTCTTTCCTACAGAGGTGCGAAATTGTCGGGCTTTCCTATCTATGTCCGTGTGTGGCCGTGTTTGGCCGTGTATGGCTACTCACATACACAAGGACCTTGTAGAAAGGCCTAGTCTTGAGTAGTACATATGGATCCAGATCCAGGTCCAAGACCTAGATATAGAAGGGGAGAGAGGACGTGAGACTACGAGAAATAGTGTACATAAAAGCATAGCACGATAGCCAGAACGGACATGTTGAGCTGGCTGGACAAGATATAGATATAGGTAGATACGTGAATAGAAATCCGCCGCCGCCGCCGCCATCACCACTACCCGCCTAGGTGCATATATTATCAATGATGTTCATTGGCTCTTCCCTTTCACCTTCCATCCTATCGGTTTCCTCAGGGAAGTGCATGTCATAACATGTACATACAGTGAACGACTCTTCTTCCTTCTCCTCATATTGGATATTTCATAAAGTTTCCTGTAATCATCACAGACACTCTTTCCTCATATCTTTGTTTCTCATTGCTTCTCGCTGTCGCTCTTTCTCGCCTGCACCGTTCACTCACTCGTCGAGATTTTCGACACGTTACCCACCCCTTGAAAGTGCCGTGTGCGTCGTGTTTGTCACAACACAAAAGTCCAGCATTCTGTCTTGGGCTTTTATTCCAAGAATGTCTGCGGCACCTCGGGTCCCCAAACGGCCAAGCCCTCGTGGGCCGCGGGCCCGTAGCCGACGGGGGTGTCCTCGTTGACGAGGTCGCCGTCGGCGTAGTGCTCAACCATGAAACCCGTGACGTCCCACCAATAGTCGAAGATCTGGGAGCCGAGGATGTGGCGGCCGACGCCCCAGACGGGCTCATACCCCTTCTCGGCGAGCCACTGGTGGCCCAGGGCCTGGGTGTCGAAATCGTGCACCTCGAACGACGAGTGGTGCACGTGCTTCTCCTTGCCCGGGACGGTGGTGGTCATGAAGAAGGTGTGGTGGTCGACGCACTCTTGGCCGCGGTCGATCGAGGCGAACAGGGCCACTTCCTTGCGTGCCGGTTTGCCCGTGGCCGGGTCGATCGAGTCCAGCGGCACGTACAGGATGTCGCTCGGGTAGATGTTGAAGTGCCGCGTGTACCAGTCCATCTGGACGGCAAAGTTGTCGACATTGATGCCGAAATGACCCAGCTGTGAGCAAGAACAAAGATGTCAGCTAAGAAGCTTCGATGGATTGCGTAGAAAAATGTTCATGGGTGTGTAAAGGAACTTACCTTGTGGACGGCGGCCGGTCCAGGTTCAAATCTCTGGAAAGCCTTCGACCGGGGCTTATCCGTCTCGTCGTTCAGCACCAATTTCACGGGCTTGGCCCTCTCTTCCTTGACCTCTGCCTGTCCATAGACAAAGCTCACGGGGAAGCCCTCGGGATCGGACAGTGTGACGATATATCCGCCTCCGGGGGCGTCGGTCATCTCCTCGATGCCGTTGGTGAGGACGGTGCTGCCGGGCACCTTCAACGCCTTTTCGAGTTCCTCCTTGGACTCTACCTCAAAGACACCGCCCAGGAATTTCTTGGGTCCCTGACGGGCGTAGTAGACGTATTGGTCCGGGCCGTAGCCGCGGAACCAGCGTTCGTTTTCGCCTTTCTTGACCACATGCATGCCAAAGTCTGGGAGCGAGGCAGAGTCAGTAAGGTTTGTCAAATATAGACATTAGTAGGAGGACAACCACGTAGCCGCGGGTGCCCCCGAGTCATTCTCGTCATCTCTCTACTTGGGAGAGGAAGGACTGACCTCTCAAGAAAGTTGTGATCTTGTTCAGATCGGGATGCTGGTACCGCATGTGGCTCAGCTTGGTGATCCGGACCTGCTTGGAGAGGTCGATGCCGCGCTTCTTCTGCCATTCGCGTTTGCTCTCCGAGTCTGGCCCTATGGCATCGACATCGCGAAGAGAGGAACCACGATTAGGGCTCGGTCCACGAGAGATGGCGCCGTTGGTGGATGTTTGCTAGACGAAACAGGCAGGGGTTAGGATCTGATAAGCCCGAGAGGGGACGATGATGGTGACGAGACTCTTGTTTTCTCCCTTACCTTGTCACCGTTCTTCAACGCATCCTCGGTGATGTTGTGCTTGAGTTCGTCGAGTTTGTTCATTGTGGCGGCCTGGGGAGTTTCTTTCTTGCCGGTGCCTCAAAAGGTGGGAGGGAGTACGGCGCAGAGCGGGGTCCTTCAGCGCGAACTAATCCGTGGTTCCACTGCTGTTTAGACGTCTCGCCGTGTAACTGTGCAAGTCGTCAACGAAGGACGGCGGACTGCCAAATCGACCTCGAGTGAGCACCAAGTCAAGGCGTGAGGACTGGTTGGAGTCGAAGGGTCAGACGCTTGGAAGGTGTTATACAGGTATCACAAAGTAACGCACAGGGAGAAGAGGTGGTTTTGAGAAAAGGCTGGTCGTTGAAGCCTGTTATGTTGCGCAGCGACTTAAAATGATGAACTTGGGGCCACGACGACAACAAAAACATGCCATCATCATAACCACAACCACCACCACTTATCACCACCATTATTTAACCACACCCAAAAGAAAACTACCCCACAATGTCCGCGAAGATAGTCCGCCCGGTAAGAAGGAAAAACCCAACTAAGAGGGTATCGAGCCCACGCGGTCCATGGAGCAGAAAAAGTGCAACAAAACAGACTCGGAGGGTCCTGATGAGCCCCATCATCCCCCCCGGAGCCATCGAGCCACCGCGAGCCACCAAAGTTCATCCAAGCCACCAAAGCTGATCTCCAAGGCCGCCCAATCAGGCATATTCAGAGCGAGCTGGACTGTTGTCTGTGTGGCACATGGCTGTTCGACATGGGCAAAAACCAAGGGTCCCCCAATTCACCGTCCAAGACCGTCCCCGCATCGCCCGCTGTTCGATCAACTCTGCTTCGTACCTAGTACATGAATCGAAACTCTCGAGTCCCCCACCCTCGTGCTCTTGCTCCTGTCGGGATTTCCCCCAAACGGTTTTAAGGCCTGGCAGGGCTGGTTAGCTAGCTAGCTGGACGAATGTTTGAACTACAAGAATATCAGGAATCAGTCAGCATGCGCGGTCCTGATTCCGTGGGCCGACAAGAAAGATTCAGTTCGCTGAGCGGGAAGGGTCTTCGAAGTGTCTCGCTCGTACGAACGCAAAAAAAGTGCCCCACGATCTGCCGAAATTGTAGCGACAACCATCAATGTGGGGTCAATTCTCCATGACATGGATGGTCCTGGGCGGGTGGGACAGGCAGAGCAGACCTACAAGTATGAGGAGTAGGAGGATGAGGAGGAGGATGATGGGAACGAGTAAGCCTCTCCCAGACATTCTGAGTCTGACATGACAGGCGTCCTTGCTTAAGAGGATAGGAAAGGCAATTACTACATGTGTCTGGGCACCTCATGGCAGTTGGATAAAGATGTTGATCTGACCATCACCAACCAATGCTACAGCCTTATACCACGCCACATGCCTCGCACCACACACCACCATTACCTTGTCTAGCATGACACTGGCACACATGCCCTGCACAGGACACAGTGACTCGCATTTACTTTGGCATCAATTCAGTGGATCTTTTTTATTGTCTTGCATACACATTACATATTATCATCATGTTCCCCATCCCTCATCTCCTGCGTCCACATCCCCACATCACTTTATTGCTGCTCAACGTGACGCTGACTCTGACCTACTTAGTAGCTCGTACTCTGCAGTGTCGTGAATGGGCCAACTGTTCCCAGGCTCGGGATCCGACCCAACAAAAATTCTAGCATTCTGTATGCCGCAGATGGAGCGTATTGCGGGATCATGTGTCCAGACAACTCAACCGTCGCCAGTGTCAATCCTCGTTCGGTATGCCATTTGCCCATAAAACCCGATCCAGCAGTCGACCCCAGTTCGAAGTCGAATTCAGTGTAGTATGGGACATACATGTCACCAAAACGTGAGGGGGGTGCCGAGAACCCCTGAGCACCATTCCACGTCATGTTCTGAATCGCAAGCAAAGTACCGTTGTACAGCAGGATCATGTCGAGAATACCGTGACCAATGATGACCCTGTCCGCACTTTCAATAACCCCGGGCAGGACGCTCAGCGCCGACGGCAGCGAGTTATCCGTGTTGTTGACAAATACATCCACATTGGTGCACTCCATCCACTCTTGACGAGGAGCGTTGATGGCCTTCTGCACGTCACTGCGGTTAAAGTAGATCGAGGCTCCTTGAGGGACGTAGTCGAACGACCCGGGGAAACCAAGCACGTCCCACAGCAGTGGACATGTCGTCGCTACTTGGTAGATGTCGAAACACGGGTTGATGGCTGACGCTGCGAAGAAGACCGCGTCAAAGGTATCGCACGAGTCATCGCTGAGATCGGCGTTCGGTGGCGTGGGCAAGGGTCCCTTGGGAGGGAACACCAGATTCTCCTCCATGAAGGCGGTGTACCCGCAAGCGTCCGACATGTTATGCAGTTGCTGGACAAAACTGGCATTGAGATCGAGAAG